CAGCTAAATGTATCAAAAGTATGTCTATGTAATATTAGAATTTTCTGAGACAATGAATTTTGGTTTTTCATTTTTTTCCCTGTAAGAGGTTTTTATTTAATAGAATTTTTGGACAAAAAAATCGCAATATATCGCCTTGCTTATAGTATCGCAATATATCGGGATATGTCGTATCGTGACCCCTTTGTCATGATATGTATCGTATCGCCAAATTCTTGCCAATACACAGCCCTGTAACTCAGTCAGTTTTACAGATGTTGAGCTAAACTTTGGCGTGGTAGTAGCTGAGAGCTATCCTCAGCACATAATCTGAGCTCAATCAGATCCTGCCAGATTGCGAAGTATCAAGATTTACACGGTTTGATCAAAACAGCTGTCCATCTCTTTTTACGATGAGCTGATTGTCTGTTTAAAACTCTGGCATGAGAGGAGGTAATTCTTTGACTTTTCAGCCGCAGCCTGTTGCAGCTCAAAGACGGTTCGATACATAATGTAACTGTGAGAAYCTGATCATGTGTGAACAGTGTTTTCACACACAGGAGGTAAAAATAGAAGTGATCCTGCTGGGTAAACAAACAGCCAGACACTGGCCACATCAATTGGTTTATTTGAATTAGAGTTTTGATCATCAGTATTTTATCTTGTTCTCATTTCTATTTATTTCTTTTAAAATGAAAAGAGTGAATTCAAGTATTAATGCAAATCAATGCTTCATTTCTAGAGCTGGATATCAGGGCGATGCAATATGATTTTTGATACAGAGCTCATAATATGATTCCTGGTACAGTGCAGCTCGAATTGATTCAATTTCAGTATCAATTGCCCAATGCCACTTGTTTAACAAGACAGCAACATATTAGAAAATTATATTAAAGGGGGGATATTATGTGTTTCTCAGGAATATATTTGAATTCTATACCATAGAGCTGGGTGGTATGACCCAAATTTTATATCACGGTATTTGACGGTGTATTTTTTTCCTCATAGCTCAGCTGATAATAAAATGAACTAATGTTGCTTATTGACTTTTTTCTTTTACTGTACCTCTGTCTGTGTTTCCCTCCTCTTGTACGTCTTCTTTGCCTGGTTGTAGTCAGTAATCATGCATTTTGGTCCGATCGTGAAGCGTTGAGAAAAGATCCTTATCGGGTCTATTCTTGTGTTAATAAAACTTACGACTCACCTTGCACACCTGTCAACTCAGCTCTACTACAAAACTACTTCCTCCGGGCTTTTCACAATAGAAGCACATTAAAGTCTCCACGCATTAACYTCTCCATTATAACGTTGCGCATTAAATCTAACCGTGCACGTCACTGAAGAGRTGTTTACTACATTCAGRGATGCTGAAAACAGGATTTMTTTTTACTTCAGTCAATATAAGCAGCTGAAACACGACCCGCAGCCAGTTAGTCAAACAAGCTGCTCCAACAATAACATTAGCATGCTAACACACATAGCGGTGCTGCGAGGAAAAGTGTCCCCCAGGAAACAGTTCACTTTCGGCCGCAACGCAACGTTTTGAACGTGTTCAGGTCATTTAAACCGGAATGTCCAGTATTCAGAAATTTTATTTAACAAAAATAAAAACTGGTTTTTGGTACAAAACGTTATACCGCCCAGCACTATACCATAATAAAGTATCGATGCCACATTCACTTGTTATTAAAATGCTGTTTATATGTTAAAATAGAAAATAAACTTGACTTCTCATCATTTCTGTTTCTAAACTCCTTGAAATTGGCCTCTGTCTCTTTAAGAACCTCCTTCCACTTCTGTCCCGCCAATTTTAGCACGGGGCTGGGCGTGTGTGTGTGTGTGTGTGTGTGTGTGTGTGTGTGTG